CATATATACACCCGTAACATACCCTATGCCCCCCATACCCTCCACACACCCTGCACACACATGCCTGCACAATATACAAGAGTCAGACTTTATTTTTGTGTAATGGTGCAATCCCTTCTATACATGATTAAAAGGCAGTGCCTCAGTGAACCTACAAAGTAAGGCCCCAAACCAAAAAAGCATAAGATTTGGATGAGGAATGGTGCCTTTTTTTATTTTTTTTGCTCCAATGTTGAGCTTTCTGTCCTGCTCTGTGTCTGTCCCTGTATAATGAGGCAGAAAAGGCCCCCAAAGTGATGCGGCTGGTGGTGACACAAGTATCGAGGCTCATTTGCACCCTTTGTACCCTATCCATCTGCTCCACCTTTGCTTTAGAAACTAGAGATTTAATGTCCCAGGCATCTCCTTGGATGCATACAGTTGACTGCTTTTCCTCAGTGCCTTGAGCTGAAATGAAGATGTCGTGCCCCCTTGCTCCAGGAAAAGGAGTACTGCTGTGTAGCTTGGTGTAAATTGCCTGAAAAAACCCCCTCAAACCTTACCTAAGTCTATTAAATGGGTAGGTTTTAGCCTCACTTTACAGATTGGATAGCAGGCACACAGTTATCAAAGGCCATTTAGCATGTCACATTGATTTATCTGCCCCTTGTTTGTCAGTCCTGGGTAGGACTGATCATGAAATGTTTTAGATTTGTGAACTAAATCCCACCTCACATTTTAGGGTGGAATAAATTTTGATTCTTCTGCTACCAACAGAAGCTAATGCTAAATGTTGTTAGAGAAGTATCGTATCTCTTCAGCAATGTTTTAACATCTCCCAAGGCTATATAGGCTATTGGCTTCAAATATATTACATGGGATTATTCTGGTGTAGAACTGGAAAAGCGCTATCAGATCTTAAAGCCCAATCTCTTACGGGGCAGTGATATCCTTGGCTGAGTTCCCAGTTCCTATTGCTTATCTTCTTCTAGGAGAATCTCCCTTTTCTCTCTCTTATTTGCAGCATTGCTTGCTTCAGGTTACATGTGCAGGTTTTACATTGAAGCTTTTGGCTTCAGTCGCTCTCTGCTGTAGCAAGTGCCCCATATTCCAGAGATGTGCTGTGTCCCACTGTAGACTGCAGCTTGTTGAGTCTATTTTCAAGGCTCTTTCATACATGGAAAAATCTCTTCTGCTGGCACTACTGCTTTTAAAGGCATGATGATATGTAAATCTTTTTATTAGCTAACTAGACTTTATGGCTTGCTAACTAGATTTGTAATTTGCTAGCACAAATCCTTCTGATGAGTAAAGTTCAAACTTGGAATGAACAAACCAAAGGAGTTCTCCTGTTCACAGGAGGTAGTGAAACATCTGAAAGAGGTATGTCGCTTGGAACAGGAGGTAATTGAGGGCAGCTGAATAATAGAAAGAATCGGAGACAGGTGTCCTGCCTAATTAAACAACAATTACATGGGGCATGTGTTCCAACCTATTAAATGTTAATTTGTACATTTTCAGAATTTCGACTCTGACATCAGCAGCGTGGGGATAGATGGATGCTGGCAAGCTGACAGCCAGCGAATTCTCAACGAGGTGATGGTGGAGCACTTCTTCCGACAGGGAATGCTGGATGTAGCTGAAGAGCTCTGTCAGGTAACGATAGCTATGGATGTTGGATGTGCCTGGAAAATAGTTCTCCATACTGCAGTGTGTTTTTAAATTTTTTGTAGCTGAAACCCTCAATGAGAGTATTACCACATTTTCTCTCCTATATCCCACACCTCCCTCCCTCCCCCTTCACCCAAACCATCTGGAAAAGGTGGGTTTCTCATCACTATGCAAGGAAAAGCTGTGTGTGTGTCTAGACATTTGGCTCATAGCCCCTAGCCACCAGCCCTGATACATGGCCTCAAGCCCCAGAGACCCCAGACCTTAGATGCTTACCGGTATTCATAGGTAAGATCTTTTTTCTTGGGGCCTTCCAAAAATAAGGTGTGTATCATATTCAGGGGTGGGTTATATGTACAAAATATGGTTATATTAAATAGAAGTTATTTAAAGGCAACTAACTAAAAGACAGATTTTTCCTCTTGTTGTTTTTCTGATAACTAAAAAGTGTGACTTCTGTTTTTCAGGAATCTGGTCTTTCTATAGACCAAAGTCAAAAAGAGCCATTTGTGGAGCTAAATCGAATATTGGAAGCATTAAAAGTTAGAGTTTTGAGACCTGCACTTGAGTGAGTTGCCCAGTTTTTTTTTCTTTTTTTGAACACGTGAAATCTTGGCATTGTCTTCAGTTCACTCTGAACTCTCCCTCTGTGACATAGGACTAAACTCAAAAGGTTTTTTTTTTTTCTGATCTATTACTAAACTTGTGTTGCACAATATCATTGGCAGAAGCTTTCAGGAAGAACAGCATCAGTTGTCTGCTTGAAACAAAGCCTTTTTAATTAGGTTACTATAAATCACTGCCAGCTTCCTTAAAAAAGGGCCCGATCTGAAAGGGTACTTAGTATGTCCTGAAAGACACCCCCAGTTCCCATTAACTTAATGGACTTTTGGGAGTGATCAGGGCCTTTCAGGATCAGGGCTCAATGCTACTTATTTTGTCAAGTCATTTTCCCCAGCCAGATACAGGTAGAAGACCAAAGGAGAAGGGGATAGCAGGACAAGTGATCTTTATAGACTTGTGGTGACAGGTGAGTGAGTGTTAGTGTCGGACTAGTTGTGGCATTTCCACAGATAGGCTCTGAGGTCATGTTGTTTTAGACAATATTATCCTTTTTTCAGTGGCAGGAACCCACAGAAAATGATATTGAATGTGCAGGCTAAATCTAAGACTCTCAAGATCAGTTGGAGCCAATCTTAGTAGCCAGTATGCCACAAGTTAAGCTTGTGCCCTCCTTGTGGGTTACTCTGATTCCTTTTCCTTTGCTTTCTGCTCCCTGTCCAGTCTGCCATGTGTCATACACAGCAGCTGTCTGTACCATGTGTGGTGCAGGTTGCCCAGCCTTGGTCTCCATTTTAGAACATCTCACTTAACCTCATCCTATGGTATTTCTCTGATTATTTTTATTAGCTTTTACCCCTATTTGTCCTGCAAGTTGGAGCAAAAGAAAAGAAACAAAAAATACACTTTATGTAGGTTGTTCTGTGCATTATACTCTTCATTAATGAGGCTCTGAGCTATACCAAAATTGCATTGTTTAAAAAGCCTGCAACATCAAAACAGTTTTTGGAACGTGAGTCTAGATCCCATCTTTTATCCATTTGTGGGGAGCTTTACTATATAAATAAGACCAAAAATAAAAGTACTTTTTTGGTAGCCTTTGATATTTATTCTGTAATACTAGAAACAAAAGAATAAAACAAATGTAGAAATCCTTCATGCTTGATTATATATGGTCACAGAACATTCAGGGTATTCAGGTTTCTTTTCTGTTTAGCAAAATAAGTTTCCTGTGAGCTGATAAGATTTCTCTTGCTGCATGTGTATTCACTCACACTATAAGACTAGCCAATATTAGGCTTTTCTTGAAAATTTGTTCTCTTGAGATTGGTGTCTAAGTGAAGTGCAGGGACAGCATGATGTTAAACCATTAATCAACATAAAATGTGCATGCTGGAATCTGTCACTGAATTGTGGAGGGCACATCATACTTAATTACTCATTGAAAATAACAATGTAAGTGCGGTGCTGGGAGGGTTCAGTGCTATCCATCTGGCTAATTATGGGGCAGTAATACTCTAAAAATGCCCTGCTTCTTTGAACTGAAGTTGCATCTCTTGCTGTTTACACACTTGAGTTTCTTCTGGTTACACTAGTCATAGATCCTTAGAGAAGGGCATTTCCTGAAGATTGATTAGTAGTTCTGGCTGGCTGTCTTTACGTTATCACATCAGTTTTGTTTGGCTGTGTGAGGGTAGGAAATTTCTTGTACGTCTTTTGGTTGCTTATTCATTTTGGGTAGCTCCTACAATGTGCTAGCTGCTTTCCTGAGGTCCTATGATCCTCTTCTGTATGGAAGGTAGGGCTGGAAGGGACTTCATGAAATCATGTAGTCCAGCCCCCTAGTCAAGGCAGGATCATCCCTGATTAAATGATCCCAGCCAAATGTCTGTCTAACTTGCTCTTGAAAATTTCCAGGCATGGAGATGCCACAGCTACTCCAGGTAGCCTATTCAATTCTTGACCATTCTCATAGTCAGAATATTTTTCCTAATCTCCAACCCGAGTTTCTTCTGTTGCAGTTTGAAGCCATTACTTTTAGTCCTGTCTTCTACTGCCACAGAGAATAGTCCATCACCATCCACTTTGTAATTACCTTTTGAGGTATTTTTTTTGAAGACTGCTTTCAAATTCACTCCCTGCCCCCACCTTCCCCAGTCTTTTCTTCCCAAGACTAAATAACCCTAGCTCTTTCAGCCTTTCCTCATAGGTAGGATGACCATACCTCCAGGTTTGGCCAGGACAGTCTGGGATTTCATAGTCTGTCCCAGCATCCTGGCTGGTTGGCAAAATTTGAAGCAAAAGTCTTAGATTGTCATCAGACACTGAGCTTAAATGTGCTGTGGCAGAAGGTATGTTTGCATATGATTATGTCCAGCATGATCTCTCTTTCTGTTCTAGTAACTGTTCATTGAAATTGATTTCAAAGATATTTGATCCAGTATTTTCTTGTGCTGTACAAAAAGCAAAGCTTTTGCATGAAATGTACTAGCCCCACTGGTAAAAGATGAACTGTCTGCAGAACTGGCTGGAGCAACTTTTATTACTGTATCAGCTGATGCATCCAACAGGAAGGCAGTAAAGCTAATCCCAATATTGACCCTTTTTTAATCCTTCAAGTAGCATGAAAGTTAAATTGCTAGATGTTTACTCTGTCAAAGGAGAGACATCTGAAATCATTGCAAATGTTATTGAAAGTTGCATTCAGAAACCTGGGATTTTGCACGGAGTCATTGGTTTCTGCATTGATAACACTAACACAAACTTTGGTGGGGTCCAGAATTGTGGGAAAATCAACATTATTACAAAATTGAAAGAAAGGTGGGACAGAGGCTTACTTGGATTGGTTGTGTGGCCCACATTATACACACCTGCATCCAAACAAGCTGGAAGGGCTTGCAGTGAAGAGAGATCAGTGTTTTCACATTTTACACAGTTTGTGTAACCAAATCACAATAATTCTGAGACCAAGCTGAACTTGTCTATAACATTTTGCTCTAACATGATAACATGTTTTCTTTTATTACTTCCAGTAATACAGCATCTTTTTGAAATGTATGAGCCTTTGAAAGCATACTTCACGCTAAATGTCCAACTCTGTTTTTTAATTTCTTTCAAAATGAATGTGGGAAATGTTGGTTTCTTTTTGTCAGTTAGAGAACTTTATGCAAGCTATCCAACATACAGAACGACAATCTACTTTTGGAGCATCCAATCTGCTTTTGGAGCATCAAGAGAATTGCAAGCTCTGAAGACAGAATTGGTCAACGGAAAATGTTGAAATCTGTGTCAGCCCCTTAAGAGAAACAACAAAAGATTACTTGCTCAGATGCATCCTTCAGTTTTACAACTCAAATAATCTATGGCACACACTTTAAGAAGTTTCTTTTGATGGCACTTCTGCATTTAATTGAATGAACCTTCACCTCTGTCTTGAGTGGAGTAATGCTGAGACATCATATGATTTCATATGCAAAAGATTTGACACTGAATCATTAACGAGGCTGATAAAATGCTGATGGTCTTTTAGACTGATTTTGTGCCATGAAGATTTATGTGGAAGGCAGACTCAAAGAATGGAGGAAGCAAGATATCCCATGAGAGAACCATTGAGTTGAGAGAGTCACTCATTTCAGTTGTTCTCTCATACCAACAAATAATATTTGGCATTTGGTTAAATATGCTGTTTGTCTACCAGGGATATCTGCTCCAGTGGAAAGAGCGTTTTCACAAACGATGAAACTGGTAACCAGAGAAAAGCTGTCTCAGTATATCTACAATTGCTGCTTTGCTGAGTATCAAAGTGAATTCCAAAAAGGACTGCCTGCAATTTTACAAAAAGTTGCAAAAAACCCAGTTCTTTTGTAGGAAATGCATTCCTCAGAGAAGTACCAGTCGTTTGGGTCTAGAGACGAGGCAGGCCAGGAGATGGAAAAATGACTGAAAAGTGTACTAGTCAGCAGTTTGGACTAGATTGTGATCATATATTTTTTTCATAGAAATTTCATATTATCATAATTTTTGTTAAACCATAATTCCTACTTTATTTATAGTGATACAATTCAAATTAATTTTAAAAAATGTAATTAGTTACACTTTTATTTTTTACAATAACCCTCCACCTTCACTTGAAACACGGTGTCTCTGGATTTCCTTAACGGTGCTCCGTCTCCCTGCCAGACTGTGCCCTGCCCGTCTGCCTCTGTCTGCAGCAATGCCACTGACTTGGGCAGGAGGGCAGTGTCCCAGATTTCCTTAAAAATAATATGGCCACCCTACTCATATGTAATGCTTCCCAGTCCTCTAATCATTTCTGCTGCTTTTTGCTGGATTCTTTCCAATCTGTACATGTCTTTCTTGGTGTGGGGCCCAAAACTGGATATAATACTCCAGATGAGGCCTCACCAGTGCTAAAAGGAGTGGAAGAATCTCTTCCCTTGATTTGCAAGAGACCCTCCTGTTAATGCAACCCAGTATGGTTTTTTTTTTTTTTTTTCCTGAAACAAGAGCAACATGAGCTGTTGGTTCATGTTCAGCGTATGGTCTAGTGTAACCCCCCAGGTCCTTCTCTTCAGTTTTGCAGCTCAGCCAGTCATTCTACAGGCTTTATTTGTGCACATAATTGATTCTATCACAGGTGCAGGATTTGCACTTGTCCTTGTTGAATTTCATCAAGTTGATTGCTGGACATTTCTCCAATCCATCCAAGTCATTCTGGATCCCAGCCCTACCCTCCGAAGTGTCTGTAACTCCACCCAGCTTGGTGTCATCCAAAGAGGCATGGTTCTTTCTTCAAGGAGTTCATATTCCAGACAAATGAGTGGACAGAGTAGAGCGCATTGTTTGTCATCCTGCTTTTTCTGTCCTTCCTTCAACTCTGTCTCTTGTCTGTTTAGATTAGAAGCTCATTATCCAGGGCATATCTACTATTCTGCGCTGTGCCCAGAGCAGTGGGTCCTCATTCTTGGTTGGCTCTTTGGCACCACCACAGTTAAAACAATTGAGAAT